CGCCTGTTGGCCTGGCATGGGTCCCATTGGTGGAGCATCCTTAGGCTTGGATATGGAAGTAGATCTCCCTCTGCCTGGTCTCTTTTTCTCTTGTGGCACCGGAGAGTGCGAGCAGTGCCATTGATGTGTGTTTTGAGATGAGCCCGTCAGGTACCGAGAGTCTTTAGATGGTGCCTTAGGCTGAGATGACTGCACAGAGGAAGACGTGCTCGGTGCTGAGTCTGCAGGCGCATGGTCTGGTAGGGGCCATAGTGCTGCTTCCATGAAAAGAACCGTAACTTGCTGATATCAATCTTTGAGTGTTCATAGTCTGAAGGTTTTAAAAATTGCACAGCAGTTCTTCTGATGACCCTCTCCCAAAACACTTCAGGCAGGAAGAGTGTGTGTGTGTGGGGTGGGGAGGGCGTCCATTCTGGGCATATGTTTGCCACAAGAGTCACAGGCGTTGAAGCCTGGTGACCCAGGCATGCCCTGGTATTAAAGCATAGGGAAGGGAAAAAACAACCTCCCCAATAAAAACTAACTATTCAACTTACTACAACTTAACAACTATTTAACTATTAACTAAGTAAACAAGAACGAAAGAGAAGCCACTGCTCTTATGAATAAAAGCACAGGGAATTCCAGCTAGACATCGCTGGCGGAAAGGAGGAACTGAGGAGGGGAAGGGGTTGGCAAGGTACTATACTATGCACTAAGGAGGTACGACTCCAGGGAGCACCCAGACTGACTCTACGGCTAGCTGCTAGGGGGGAAATCTTCCAGTTAACAGGCACGTGCACAAACACACAACTAATTCTGAACAACAGCACTAAAGATCTAAGTCAGCATTAATGCTGTTATCTATCACCTATCATCTCTTTTGGTGGGAAATACTTTACAAAATGAAGCCCATCATACCAAAAAAAAAAAAAAGTTAGGGGACGTATACAAGTTTTACAAAATTCAAACTTGTGCACTTGTTTTATGGGTAATGTTGATGAAGCTGTTACCAGAGTTGCTCATCCTGAATAATGTAGATGACCAATTGTGTCATCTACTAGACAGAAAATAGTGAACAGCTGTAAGAGAACAGAATGTAAAGAATAACTCCAAAAGCAATCATCATAATTCTTACAAAGTCCTGATTACTTTTATAACAGGGAGAGACATGGATTCGTATTTCCTCTGACTTCAAACCAAGACTGGATTAACTCTTCTGGGGGCCTGGGGCCAGTAGATTTTGTGGGGCCCCTCTAGACTCTGGGGTGGGATGGAAGGGAGCTGCTGGGGAGCAGGCTGGGCATGGGTCTGGGAGGGAAGTGCAGCACAAGATTGGATTGGGAGTAGAGGTGCATGGTCTGGGAAGGAACAAGGTTATGGGAGGGAGCATGATATTGGGGCACTTACCTGGCATAGCTCCTGTTTGGTGGGGGTGGTAAGGTGGCTTTGTGCCACCCTGTGCATGCAGGCATGGTTCCCCTTACCCTGCCTTCCACTGACCATGCTCCTGGCCAAATAGAGCATCAGGAGAGAAGCCCACAGGCCAACACAGAGACAGCTGCCTTCTTCCCAGAGTTGGCCAGGAATGCAGCAGGCTAGGGCTTTAGAGTCTGCAACCCAGGGCCCCAGGCCAAGGGGGTCCCCCTAAGGGCTCTGGGCTGGAGGCCCTACAGCCCCTTTAACAATCTTGCCCTGCTTCAGACTAGCAACGCAAATCAAGAGTGAGGCACTAAGGGAAAAAGTAACAATCTTATTCTCACACAATGTCTGGGCAATTCAAAAAACAAAATTCAGTTTCTGAATAAGAAGCCTGTGAGAATCAGCTACTGGAAAGAATCCTGAAAAACTTGAAGAGAATCACAACTCACTGAGGAGTATGGTCTGCCAGTCAGACTGGTGCGATTTTTCCCCCTCTTCAAGGCAAAAAGAGGTGTATTTTTCTGTAATAAGGGACAGAACACTAAGTTTGCAAGGCAGACTAATATTTCACTTACCTTTCACGTAACTCCTGAATGCTCTGGATCTTTTGGAAATATCAATAAATTTGATTTATAAGATGTAAAAAGGCTTCAACTGCCACCTTCCCCTCCCTATAAACAGCAGACAAAATGCAGCTAATCTGTGGCAATATAATGCTTGTTTCTTTATAATCTCTGGCTGATTTTTATGAAAAAGATGGGTTAAATATGTCTTCTAGATAATGGATGGAGCAAAAATTCTGGATAAGTAATTTATAGGAAAAAATGCTAAAAGTTACTGCAAAGAGGTCAATAGAAGATGTAAAAAAAATTGCAGATAATGTTGCAGTTTTATGCCTAAAGTGATAAAGCAAACCTAGAAACCTCATGGAGGGTAAGTGCCAGTTCTCAAAGATGAAAAATACTGCCAATTATAAAACTTCCTTTGTGGCTTTAAATGGCCAAAATGTAGTAACATCAAATTGCTTGAGAAGAGAGAATTTACCCATCTGTATGGAGCTTTCTTAGTGATATTTCTGATAATCTAAACTATGTGAGCTCAGGTTTAAATATGTAAAAAATTATCCATGTTACCAGAGCCTCAAATAGAAACACAACTTAAATGCACAGTCTACAATATTTTATTTGCAAGACAAGGGAAAATATTTAAATAGTGCATTTTGCACTTTTCATTACATCTTTATTTATGCATCTACTGCAAAGTTTACAATTGCTTGTCAGTATCAATAAAACTGCCATAATGCAAAATGCATATTCTTTTGCAGATATAGATTTAAATAGTTAAAATTTTACCTCACCTTTGAAGCTTCTAGTTCTTTTATATGGTCTTCCGCTTCTGTTAGTTTCTCCTTTAAAATGGCAATCTCTTTCTCCATAGGCATCACAACTGAACGAAGCTTCTCAGCATCCTCTTGGGCCTGAAATCAATTTGTAATGCGTAATGCATCATATTACTTTGGAATAAAAACAAATCTTTTTCCACAAGAGAAATTAACAAAACTGATATGCCAAAAATGAAACCACACTTTTGCTTATAATACTTGTTATGTTACTACATATTTAGCTAGTCCCAAGTGCTCTCTGACAAAATAAAATTTGTCCCATTCTTTGAAAGCAATGGAATTGTATGTCCATGGATGAATTTGCTTTTACGGGAAATAGCTAGTACAGTAAACTTCCAATAATACGGCACCTTTCGGACCCAGGGGGTGCCGGAATATCTGATATGCCAGACTATCAGAAGGGGAGGCAGCGCTGTGGGACCAGCCTAGCAGCACCTCAGCTGCTCTGCCCCAGCTGAAATCAATTTGTAATGCGTAATGCATCATATTACTTTGGAATAAAAACAAATCTTTTTCCACAAGAGAAATTAACAAAACTGATATGCCAAAAATGAAACCACACTTTTGCTTATAATACTTGTTATGTTACTACATATTTAGCTAGTCCCAAGTGCTCTCTGACAAAATAAAATTTGTCCCATTCTTTGAAAGCAATGGAATTGTATGTTTTGCCATGCGTCTGCTTTTACGGGAAATAGCTAGTACAGTAAACTTCCAATAATACGGCACCTTTCGGACCCAGGGGGTGCCGGAATATCTGATATGCCGGACTATCAGAAGGGGGGGCAGCACTGTGGGACTAACCTAGCAGCACCCCAGCTGCTCTGCCCCATGCGTCCCCAAGTCAGCCGCTGCTGAAACTGACCAGCACTGACTACAAGAAGCCCCAGGGAGAGGTGCTCTGCCCCCGGGGTTTTCCAGGTGGTGCCAGACTATCAGGAGTGCTGGACCACTGGATGCCGGAAAACTGGAGTTTTACTGTACATCTTGCCCCTTGCTAATGGGACAATCATAAGTTTTAAAGTGTGTACATACAATTATTCTGTATTTAAAAAGTGTGGCCTTTTCACCAAGATGATGCTGTGTAGAAGAGAGAGAGAGAAATGGACAGAAATCATGCAATTGCAAAGTTAGTTACTGACTCCAGAAATTCAAAAGGAGAAGGCAACATGTAGTAATACCATGTAGCTCTTTTATGGGAGTTGGAAGGCTATTTTTAGATTTTAAGAATTATTGATAAATAAAACAAACAATTTTCAGTTTTATTGTACTATGTATTCAAAACCGTGCCATCAAAGCTGTCAAAATATGGTTTTTTTCCCCCCAAGGTTAGTGCTGAAAAACTAAAAAAATGGAGAAGACAATGGAAAGACTCATATGAGGAAGCAGGAGTAAGAGGAAAAAAAAACCAGCCGGGTTAAAAATAAGAATTAAAATGGGGCAATGCAGTAAGTACTCAAATTCAGAAACGTGTAGATTGGAAGCCTGCTTTGATATCCCAACATCTCATGTGCCCCGAAAGTACCAGTCACTTAGGGTGCATCTACACAGCAGGGTTAAAGTCAAATTAAGCTACGCAACTTGAGCTACGTCAATTGCGTAACTTAAGTCAAAATAGTTTAATTCAACTTTTGGTGCTGTCTACACAGCAGGAAGTCTGAGAAAGAGCACTCTTCCTCGGACTACCCTTATTCCTCGTAAAATGAGGGTTACAGGGTTACAGGAGTCAAAGTAAGAAGTCTGAAATAATGACTTGCTGTGTAGACACACTCTTTGTTATTTTGGAATAATGTCAGTTATTCCGAAATAACACTGCTGTATAGACATAGCCTAAGTGACTCAGACTAAGGTCAGAAGGGACCATTATGATCATCTAGTCTGACCCCCTGCACAATTCAGGCCACAGAATCTCACCCACTCACTCCTGGAATAATCCTCTCACCTATATCTCATATATTGAAGTCCTCATATGGTTTAAGGACCCCCAAGATGCAGAGAATCCTCCAGCAAGTGATCGGTGACCCATACTACAGAGGAAGGCGAAAAACCTCCAGGGTCTCTGCTAATCTACCTTGGAGGAAAATTCCTTCCCGATCCCAAATATGGCAATCAGATGAACCCTGAGCATGTGGGTAAGCCTCACCAGCCAGACACCCAGGAAAAATTCTCTATAGTAACTCCTATCATTCCTCCATTGGCCTATTTGACCACTGATAGTAAAAGGTCAATTAGTTACCAAGATCATGTTATCTCATCAAACCATCCCCTTCATAAACCCATCTAGCTTAATCTTGAAGCCAGATAGGTCTTTTGCCCCCACTACTTCCCTTGGAAGGCTATCCAGAACTTCATTCCTCTAATGATTAGAAACCTTCATCTAATTTCAAGTCTAAACTTCCTAATAGCCAGCTTATATCCATTTGTTCTTGTGTCCACATCGGTATTAAGCTTAAATAATTCCTCTCCTTCCCTGGTATTTATCCCTCTAGTATATTTAAAGAGAGCAATCATGTCACCCCTCAGCCTTCTTTTGGTTAAGGTAAACAAGCCAAGCTCCTTGAGTCTCCTTTCATAAGACAGGTTTTCCATTCCTCGGATCATCCTAGTGGCCCTTCTTTGTACCTGTTTCAGTTTCAATTAATCCTTCTTAAATGTGGGAGACCAGAACTACACACAGTATTCCAAATGAGATCTCACCAATGCGTTGTATAACGGCACTAACACCTCCTTATCCCTACTGGAAATACCTCGCCTAATGCATCCCAAGACCATATTAGCCTTTTTCACGGCCATGTCCCAATGGCAGCTCATAGTCATCCTATGATCAACCAGGACTTCGAGGTCCTTCTCCTCTTCCGTTACTTCCAACTGATGTGTCTCCAGCTTAATAACAAGAATTTTAGTTATAATCCCTCAGGCTATGTCTTGACTGCAAGCCTCTTTCGAAAGAGGCTTTTTCGAAAGATACTTTTGAAAAAGCCTCTTTTGAAAAAGAGCGTCTAGACTGCAAGCAGAACTTTCGAAAAAGCAAGCCACTTTTTCGAAAGGAAAGCAGCTAGTGAGTCTGGATGCTCTCTTTCTAAAAAGCCCTGTTGGCATTCAAGAACGCCATTTTTTCGAAAGAGCACTTTCGAAAAAAGGCGTTCTTCCTCATGAAATGAGGTTTACCGCCGTCGAAAGACAAGCCCCGTTCTTTTGATTTAATTTCGAAAGAACGCGGCTGTAGTCTAGACGCAGGTGAAGTTTTTTTCGAAAAAAGGCTACTTTTTTCGGGAAAAAACCCTGAGTCTGGACACAGCCTAAATGCATAACCTTACACTTCCTCACTATTAAATTTCATCCTATTGCTATCACTCCAATTTACAAGATCATCCAGATCTTCCTGTATGATATCCTGATGCTTTTCTGAATTGGCAATACCTCCCAATTTTGTGTCATCCGCAAACTTTATTAGGACACTCCTACTTTTGGTGCCAAGGTCAGTAATAAAAAGATTAAATAAGATTGATCCCAAAACTGATCCCTGAGGAACTCCGCTAGTAACCTTCCTCCAACCTGACAGTTCACCTGTCAGTATGACCCACTGTAGTCTCCCCTTTAACCAGTTGCTTATCCAACTCTCAATTTTCATATTGATCCCCATCTTTTCCAATTTAACCAATAATTCCCCATGTGGTACTGTATCAAATGCCTTACTAAAATCAAGGTAGATTAGATCCACTGCATTTCCTTTACCTAAAAAATCTGTTACTTTCTCAAAAAAGAAGATCAGGTTGGTTTGGCACCATCTACCTTTTGTAAAACCATGTTGTAATTTGTCCCAATTGCCATTAACCTCAATGTTCCTAACTACTTTCTCCTTCAAAAATTTTTCTAAGACCATGCTACAAATGTCAAACTAACAGGCCTATAGTTATCAGGGTAACTTTTCCCCCCTTTCTTAAAAATAGGAACTATATAAGCAATTCTCCAGTCAAATGGTACAACCCCGGAGTTTAGAGATTTATTAAAAAAATTTTGCTAATGGACTTGCAATTTCATATGCCAGTTCCTTTAATATTCTTGGATGAAGATTATCTATCTGGGCCCCTCGATTTACTCCCATTAAGCTGTTCGAGTTTGGCTTTTATCTTGGATATAGTAATATCTTCCTCCATATCCTTATTCCCATTTGGTATGTTACCATTATCCCTAAGCTCTTCATTAACCTCATTAAAGACTGAAGCAAAGTATTTGTTTAGATATTGGGCCATGCCTAGATTATCCTTAACTTCCACTCCATCCTTAGTGATTAGCGGTCCCACTTTTTTTTTTCTTCTTTTTTTTTATATGGTTATAAAACCTTCTACTATTGGTTTTAATTCCCTTTGCAAGGTCCAACTCCAGCAGAAGAAGCAGCAATTTAATGGAATTCTTCAGATTAAACAATTCGTAAGTAAATATAAGGAGTTATTGTTTAAACCACAAAAAAGGAAAACATCTTGTTGCACTGTTTATTTTTTATTTCTATTTATGGATTGGTAGGTTGGAACATCACTTTCCCTCCAGCTTCTATTGTAGGAGATTGACAAGGATAAATGAGAACTGCAATTTAAAAGAAAACTTCAAAGAGAACATTTCATGTAGCAGTAGATTACCAGCCAAGGCAGCAGCTGTACTAAATGAGTCACTTGCACATGCATGCGCGCACGCGCACACACACACACACACACACACACCCCGTCTCTCTCTCTCTTTCACAGCATCATGTATTGGAATCTGAGATCAGATATTGCCCACCCACTAGCACTCACTAGACTACTGTTTTCTGGACAATTTGCTGGCAAACACTTGTTTTGAACACAACTGCCAGCACCATGCCACTGCCATTTCTTCCTGTCTAAACAGACTAAAACAAACAAACAAAAAATCTATAGGAATGGGAAACTGCCTCCACAAAGCACAGTAAATTCACTACCTACTTGGAGGAACTGTTAGCTATGCCTCAGCAGCAACAAGTCAGGTTAAGTTCTTCAAACACCAGCAGCAGAAATTTACTCCCCAAAGCAGCTTTGCTTATTATCTTATCTGCACTA